GTGTTTCTATCTAATCCTAAAACCCACTTTATATATTTTAGTTGTGGTCTTTCTATTTCTTCATATCTCTTCCATCCCCAGATTTCTGCTCCATACATAATCACGCTTTTCACCAGAGCATGGAACAGGTTCATCCTTAGCTCCCAGTTTTCTCTAAATAGCTTTTCTCCTAGCCCCCATAACTTTCCGAGTCCCATATTTATTTTCCCTTCTATCTTCCTTATCTTCTTTTTGTTTCCGTTATTTCTGCTTATCACATATCCTAAGTAGTTGTACTCTTTCACCATCTCTATCTTCTCATCTTCCCATTCGAATTCTTCTTCCTTCCCCCTTCCTCCTCCTCTCCTGCATTTCATCATCTTTGATTTTCCTACATTTAACTCTAATCCCCTTTCTTCCAGGTATCTTTTTAATTTTTTCAGCATTATTTTCATTCCACTTTCACTCTTTGCCATCATCACTATATCATCTGCGTATCCTAATGTCCATATTTTCTTCCTTCCTATCACTACCCCTCCTTCCTGCACCTGCTTGATCTTCACTTCCAGGTCGGCGAAGGTAGGATTAAATAGCGTGGTGGTCAAAGGGCACCCTTACCTTACGCCTTTGTAAGTCTCAAACTCCCCAATTATTTCTCCTTCAACTTTTACCTTACTCCCTGTTTTCTTGTATATTTCTTCTATTCTTTTCCTAATTTTTCTATTTATCCCTTTCTCTTTCATTGTTTCCCATATTTTCTTCCTCTTTATTTTATCAAAAGCGGCCTTCATGTCTGCAAAGAATACGAACAGTTTTCCTCCTTTTTCCCTCATTTCCTTCCCTATTATTGTTTTTAATATAAATATCGCGACCATTGTTCCTCTTTTCTTCCTAAATCCCATCTGCGTATCACTTAGCGTTTCTTTAGCTTCTAGTTCTCTTTCCAGCTTTTTTCTCAGTATTTCCGCATATATTTTATATCCCGTGTCCATCAGCGTTATTCCTCTATAGTTTCCTACTTCTTCTTTCCTCCCTTTCTTATATATTGGTACTATTATTCCCTTTCTCCATTCTTCCGGATATCCTTCTCCGTTCCATATTCCATTTAAGCATTTTGTCATATCTTTTATCAAGCCTTCCGTGCCTTCCACCCAAGCTTCATTTGCTATACTATCTTCTCCTGTCGCCTTTTTCTTTTTCATTTTTCTTATTACCTCTTTTACTTCTCTTTCTTTGATTTCTTCACCTTCCTCTCCTTCGCTGTCTTCGGTTTCTTCCCCTTTACTTTCTGCCTGTTCTTTCTCTCCCAGTTGTTCCTTGAAGTGCTTTATCCATAATTCTTTTCCTATATTTTCATCTAATCCAATTCTTTTCTTCCTATTGCTATTCACTTTATCCCAGAATTTTCTTCTCGTCTTATCTGTTCTTATTTCTTCTGCCAATCTTTTCCCTTCCTCTTATTTTGCTTTACTTATTTCCTCTCTGTATTCTCTCTTTGCTTCTAAATATTTGGTTCTGTCTCCTTCCCCCTTTCTTACCTTATTTAACTCTGCAATCACCCTATCCGTTTTTCCCTTACATTCTTTTCTCCACCAGCTTTTTTTGATCCTTTTTTTTCCTTATCTTCTTTTTTACAACTGCGTTCTTCACTCTATTTTTTATATCTTTTCATTTATCTGTTCCCTCTATTGCATCTATCCATCTCTGATACTCCCTTATACCTTCTTCACTCCAGTCGTCTATCATTCTTTCTTCCTCTTCTTTTCTTTCTTCCGCTATTTTGTCTCCCAATTCCACCTCTATTGGTAACTGGTCCGACTTTACCCTCTCCTTTATTTGAACCATTTTTATCGCCTCATCACCTTCCTCGTTACCTACTACATAGTCTATCGTTGACATTCCTCTCGCTCCTATATATGTTATTTCTCCCTCTTCATCTCCTTCTTTTCTCCCATTCGTTATCACTAAGCCCATTTCTCCTATTCATTTTATCATTTCTTCTCCCTCTGCGTTTAACACTTTATCCTTGGCCTTAATTTCTTCTAGTTTTTCTTCTGACTCCCATTCCCTTCCTTCGGTTCCTGTTCTTGCGTTGAAGTCTCCTCCTATAATTATTGTTTTTCCTCTGTTCTCTTCTATCTCTTCACTTAGGTACTCATAGTTTTCCTTCTTCTCATGTTGCATATACACCGATGCTATCATGTATTCCTTCCCTCCGATCTTTATTTCTCCTACTATTACCTCACTTTTCCTTTCTTTCTTCCATTCAACCTTATTCATCCCTTTCCTCTCTCTTACCGTCATTATTACTCCCCCTATTTCTCTCCCCCTTCTTCCTTCTCTTCTTGAATCCCTCCACTCTATACCCTTTCAGTTGTTCCCTTCAGCTGTTCTCTATCCCTTTCAGTTGTTTCTCTACACCAGTTCTTGCCCCTTGCCTCTTCACCCAGGTTTCCGTTAGCCCTATTATGTCGAATTCCCTAACATATTCCCAGTCGTCTTCCTTCATGCTCCTCACCCCCGCCACGTTCCAGAATAGTATTTTTACTGCCTTCCGCCCCCCTCTCTCCCTTCTCTTCTCTCTCTCTCCTTTATCCCTATTGCTTTGGAAACCCTTCCACCCCTTTTCCTACCATTTTTCCCTCTCTCTCGCTCCACCACCATTCTTCTTCCTCTTATTTCACCCCGTTATGCCACATCTTTACCTCTTTACCTTTACTTCTTATTTCTTTCGCTTTCCTTCTTACTTCCTCTCTTATTCTTCTCTGCTTCCACGTCCAGTCCTGATCTATGTATATCTTTTTCTGTGCCAAATTATTTTTTTTCTTCATAATTCCTTCTTTTTGTTCCCATGACGCGCATCTAATTTGCCACATGTTTTTTCTTCTTTCTCTCCGCTCATCTCTCTCCGTTGTTCCTCCTATTCTTCTCAGATTCACTATCTCTCCTTTCATTTCTAGTACCTCCCTTAACCAGACCACTACCTCCCCCTTCTTTTCCCATCTTAACTCACCCTCTAGGTCTGTCACTATTATATTGTTTATCCTACTTTCTCTATCCATTTTTTCTCTCATATGCTCTAATTCTTCCTTATTGCCTACTTCTGTTCCTCTTTGCTTCTTGTTTCCTCCTTCTATGCTTTCTTTTAGTTTCACGCATTCCTCTTCCAACTGGTCCATCTTCTCTCCCCATTTTTCCTGCAGTTTCTTTTCTCTACGTTCTGCTTTTTCCCTTTCTTCTTTCATCTCTTTCTTTCTTTCTTCTCTCTCTCTCTCTCTCTCTCTTGTTCTTTCCTAACTTTTCCTATTTCCTTCTCCCACCTTTCTTCTCTTCTTTTCCCCTCTGCCTCCATTCTTTCCACTTTTCCCATTATTTCTTTAAACATTTCTGTCCATTCTTTCCTTTCCTCCTCCCATACCTCTCTTAATTCCCTTATGTCTGTCCGTATCTTTTCCATTATTTCTTCTGCACCACTACTTTTTCCCCCTTCTCTTATCTTGTTGTCCAGTCCTTCTCCCCCCTACCCGTCCATCTCGCTTCCCTCGCTCTCACTCTTGCATCTCTTTGCCTCCCTCATTTCTCCTCTAATATTCTCCCTCAGCCCCTCCCCGCTCTCTCTCCCCCTCGCCACCTTTACTCTTTTCTTCTTTTCCTCCTCTGGGCCTTTCTTATCCAACCTTCCACCTTTATCTCTTAATTTTTCTGTTGTCACAAATCTTTCCATCCTATCTCGTACGCCTTAATTCGATTCTCTATAACTACCCGTGATCCCACCTTTATTCCCTGTCTTACCTTTTCTGTCTCTGCCTTTACTTCTTACCGCCCCTCCTCTCTGCCTGTCTTTCCCGCTTTCTGATTTTCTTTCTTAACCTCAACTTTTATTTTTTTCTTTATTCCTTTCTCTCTGCTTTTTCCTGCTCCTCTCCTAGCCTCTCTCTCTCCTCTCCACTCCTCCTCCACCTCCACGCTCTTTTCACCTCTATTTCTCTCCTCAAACACTTTTCCTGTTTGACTTTCTCGCCAAAACTCGCGCTCACATCCAAGACACGTCCGCACTTCCCTCAAGTGTAATTGGTCTCGCCAACTGAGTCTACGCTTCTTTGCCGAACAGCTGACTCGGAAAAAATTATATTTTAGTCCAGTATTATTTCATGATATAAGATGGAAATTCTTCGAGCACATCAAAAATATTCTTCCATACTATACAATATTTTTTAATATAACGTTTATACGAATAGCTACTAAATCAAGGTCTAGACTCATTATCAATTCCAATTTCAAACTTCAAGGTCACATTTCAAGACCTATAATTTTCAATGCTTATAATTTTTTTCTTTCTTAAGTCGAATCTGCGCTTCCTCTTTGAGAGTTCCAAATTAAACTCATAATGTTTGAAGTCTGATAAAATAAGATACCATTTGTTGTCAGTCAGTCATTTAATTCTCAAAAAAACAAACAACTTGAGCTTGATTTTTTCATGAACTTCAGAGTTCGGGTTCCTTGGACCAAGAACTTTGAGAATACATCTACACATCTCTTTTGTTTAAAAAGAAAGAAAAAAAAATTGTTGAAAATTCAATTTTTGAAGGTTATTATAGAAGTCAAGATCATTTTTTAATCTGGCGAGGATATTTTTTCTAAATTTAACATTATTTTATCTACAAAATTCCTTTTAATTAATTTTGTATCTCTTTTCCATCTTGATATATTATATTTTTAAAGAAAAAAATCTTTTTTTCACACTGTGCGTCGACTGCATCAACTGTATATGATCTTATACCTACATATCCCTGGATTTATATAAAAACAGGTAACGCCGACAGTAGATTCAAAATTAAAAGAATTACTGGTTTCCCTTGAATTATTGAAGACTAAAATGACATCTTTACATATTCATACAATCAAGCTTATGTCTCCTGCAGGCATCGATAGTATAATTGAGATATTTTAGATCTTCTTAAATTTATGTTATATTTAAATCATAACGAGATTTTGTTATTGTGTTGATTTTGTTATTGCAGGTTATTTGAAGAGAATACTGATGTTATAAGCTTTTTCGACAAAATGAAACATTTAAGAACGAAAGAGGAACGATCCTCAAGTACTGAACTAGCTGACCATGCGCAAAAAGTGATGAATGCGCTTGATGAAGGAATTCAATGTCTTGATGATATGGATATATTTCTAACATTTTTACATCAAATTGGTGCTACGCATTCAAGAATACCTGGGTTTAATAGAGAACTATTTTGGGTGAGATTTCTGATTCAATCAAATTAATATGATATATTTGGTATTTTTATTTCTGATTCTTTAATAATTAAATATAGATAATTGTTCCTAAGTTTGAATGACCATTGACAAAAAGTAAGGGTAATTAATGTTTGACAAATAGTAGGAATGAATGTTAGAGTAACGAAGAGAGTGGTCTTAAGCATAGTGTATACAGTGAAAATATCTATTTTATTCTTTACTTGAAATAAGAAAATGAGTATAGTTCAGAATTTAGCACGACTCAGATAGCTGAAAATTAGAGCAAGAGAACATTATTAATTTACTTTCTAAATATGCCTCGTTGAATTTTTTGATTTGATGGATTGTTATTACCTTTATCATAGTTAGATATTCTTTTCATACTCAATTGAATTATTTTTCGACTTACGAGGGAAAACAGAGAGGTAGGGCGGTGTCTGCCACCGATTTTCTTTAAACTTTGCATACGTGTAGAGTATAGAAAAATATTAGACACGTGTTTTTTATTAATGGTCCGTACGGTAATTTACAGAGTTAAAACAGGATTATGAATTATTATACTGTAACTGGACGTATATTCGTGGGAAGGGACATAGCAGCGTACGTGACCGCGAGTGTGCGCTCGCGCCAGAAAGGCGCCGTATTTGCGTACAAGGTCACACATGCAGAGAGGACGCTGGATCTTCGCCCGATGGTTGGGCCAGCTTTACACCTCGGTGAAGCTGTTCGACGTAGCTGCTACCTCGTTAATTACTCTCTCGACGTGAGAAGTCGAGGAGCGGGTGATCGAAGAGTACTAGAAGGGAGAAGGATCGCGAAAACTGTCGCGACCGCGGCCGGTGCATTCGATGCTAGTGGGTTCGTTCGGTAAGAGACTTTAGAAAAATGACCGATAAAAGATAGCTAGTTGGATCGCCTTACGGACGACCGCTATAAAAGTCATAACAACAGTGACAAAGTCAGGCCGGACGCATGCAGCTGATAAACCGCCTTACGCGTGAGAGAGAGATTGTATGCAAAGCTCAGTAAAATCTGGCTTTTGATAAAATAAAATCACGCTCTCACTCGCAAACAATACAAATTAGCCGTTATCTTAGCTTTACCGTCAGCCAGCCGATAAGGATTTATCACCTCGCTCTTACTGCAGCCGCTAACGATCAGGCTGGTACGAGTGCCTCTCGTCGAAGACTTCGCCATCTTCGCGATGTTGTATCTCTAGCTTGTCGAGCTCGGAGAATACTCTTGTACTTGAGGTAGGCCACGATTTCGTCAGCAGATCGTCACACGAAATTATACTCGAGAAAACTTAAAATGTGTGTGAAAAATTTTGTTTTTTGCATTCTTAGTTTAGTACGTAAGGAATTTCGAATATTCAAAATCTTTATAGTGTTTCTTTTGAGATTTCTAAAATAGGACTAAATCAGGTCCAATTCATAAATTTTGAATGTTAACCTTTGTCATTTATCGCAAATTCGAATTCTAGAGGAATTCGTGTATCCGAACGTAATATCTAATTTCAATTAAAAAATTTACATTTTAAGTCCAAAATATTGTTCTGTTTCTGTTCTGTTTCTTTTTATCCAAAACAAAAATAATTTTATTTTTATTTAGAAATTCTTCTGAAGAAAGAGTTGTCACATAGTTGACAGCTTTTTTTGTAGAAGATTGTGAATCATTTTTACAGACTGACTGATGGATTATTGAAATCGGCAGCTATCCTTACCCACTAAACATATATCTCCTTTTACGCCTGACACCAGCTCGGTACCGTTAATCACATTACTTCGGACTGGGTAGCTGTCGTAAACACATCATTTGAATATTCCTTCCTTACTTTCAATTATTCATTTATAGACAACCATCCTCTTTCTTACCTCGCAAGATACTTTCAACGTATGCTATGTCCAAACTTCAAGGTTCGTTATCATCAGTTTCGTGTATTATCTGGCATGATCATCGAATTTAGTACCATTTCGACTTCATAGCTGTCCAGCGGTTATACAAGAAAATCGTATGTTCCACATCGTCTCAGGCATTTTGGTAGGGTAAGATTATACGTACAATATGCAGGGCAATCTCTCATGCTTGCTAGGCTAAATTCTCGCTCTCTTACTTTTAGTGACCCAGAAGTGCATATCTGGTTTTCAAGGCAGCACCCTTTTGAAAGTCATAGTATGTTGCCGGTCAAGGGTCACTGCTGTACCGTAGACCTTTCCCAAAGTGGATTTCAGCGATTCTATGCACACGTGGGAGTGTCTAGTTTATAAAGCCCTCAGTCACCCATACTCCACCAAGGAGTTACCCATTTATAGGTCCCTCTCTAGTATTCATGAACGAAACCTGTTTGTAGGGTTGCTCAAACTAATTTCTGCTTCAATTCCCTCCCGGAACAGTCGCCAGTGCGAGTTCGATTAAATACTGATGAGTGAGTATTCACGTCAGTAGATTACCACTATCTCTGCATCATTCACGAGTTAGAGCTTCTTTTTATCCATTTTCGTTATAGCGCTTATGCGAGGAGCATTGATACGATGAAAAACATTTCTAATGAATAATGCGTGGAACGTGGGAATTGACTCCTTCCAGGAGTAGTGTTACCATACTCGAGGCTGGTCCACCATTATTATTATTATTGTTTTTATTATTATATATTTTTTTAATTTCTGCAGCGAATAAACTGGATTGCTCCAGCCATCTGTGTCAGGAGTCTGGTGGTCCACGTGGACTGTCTAACCCACCATCCGTCGAGCATGCTCCTGAAGGTACTCAGAAGTATGTCCCCCGGATAGGAAATTCCACCTTCTGTCCAACCCTCAGCAGGGGACCACTTTTATATTATTTCGCAGCTGCGAGTTCTGTCCAAACAGCTGTTCGTTTCGTTGGTTTCGTTAAGTCTTTTCGTCCATTTTATTTATTCAGACATCATTCACCAGCGGTATTTTTCATACATTCATCCAAAGTTCAGGCATCCGTTCACGTCCAGTCTCGACAAAGGTAGCGATCGCTGCCCAGCTGTCTTCGTCGTGTAATATTATTATTATAGTAATGTCACAGTATTATCCGGTGTAATTGTACCAGTTTTCCTTTCCAGTTACAATCTGTCTATAATTCATCGTGGGCAATCATATAAAGTGTGCTCTACGTCATTTTTGTTACGTTCACAATATTTATAGTCCGGCGTCTGTACTCCCTTGCATCTAAATAAGTAGTGTCTGAAGTATTCGTGTCTAGTGAGGAATTGGATTAAGTAAAAGTCAAACTTCCCTAACTCTCGTAGCGTCCACGGTTTCAGGCCACTTATCAAGAGTCTTATCTACGTTGCCATCTCGTTTCTTGTCAATCGTTCGTTCCAGTCGTTTAGTGTTCCACAACTGCCGCGTTGGTTCTCCCTACACCAGCGGTTATCTCGTACGTCCGTTTCCGTTCCTTGGCGAGCAGGTTTGCGGGAATAACTTCCGTCACGACCAGGACTGCCTCGGTCAAGGTAGTTTTGAAAGCGCACACTATCTGCAACGCTTCCTGTCTCTGTACGTTTGTTAGTCGTTTGCGGTATTTCTTAACGTCGAGCTTAGATTTCCGCACCGTACATGATCGAGTGGGCCGTCAATATTAGTAGGCATCTCTTTCCTTGTCTCGATTCGTACATGTTTGCCATGAGATGGGAGAGCGAAGAGCCCTTCAATGCCGCCTTATCGGCCGTTTCCTGTATATAAGGCGAAAAAGGTATAAAAAGTCAGTTTCGTACCGAGGGTAATTCCTTAATATTTCACTTTATCCTTGATCTTCATCCATTCCGTCCCCAGTGACATTGGAATGAGGATTTAAATCCTCTTCCGGTCAGTAGGATTAATTTTGTCTTCCCTAAAATCAGTGACAGCCCGTGTTCTGTCATCCATCTGTTTATCCGTGATATAACCCGGCTCAGCGTCAGCTGTGCCAATTTCAGATCTCGCTGAACGATCACCACCACTACATCGTCGGCGTAAGCGACCAGCGCGGCGTTCTCCGGCATATCCAGCCTTAGCAAGCCGTCGTAAATCGCATTCTAGAAATTTGGTCCCAGAATTGACCCCTGTCCAACTTTTGCTAGCCTGTTCTTCAGTCGTCTCGTACGTGATCCATCTCTCTCGTAGGTAATTCCTTGTTACCCGCATGAGGTAGGCGGGAACATCAAAAGCTCGCCAGAATGTCCTCCCATCAGGTGGAGTTGAAAGCATTTCTAACATCTAATGTCGCAAACAAAACCAGTGATCTTGCTCCGTAGCATATTTGGTTTACACGTTGGAAGGTCTTGGTAACTTTCCTTATTGCGCCTATCGTTAAGTGTCCTTTATGAAAGCCGTGTTGATTGTGAGTTAGTCCTCCAGTTTCTGTGATTGCAACCGTTAGTTGTGATCTCAGTAGTGCTTCGTATAGTTTTCCCACGGTGTTTAACAGACTCACGGGTAGGTCAAGACATCCAAGTTTCTGGACTACTATCTTGTCACCTAGTCTTTAGGAATCTCTGTCCACATCCTCACACAGTCTTCTCCAACATCGTTTCTTGCTGTCCTTGATAGCTTAAGTCAGTTTTTTACGTGTCGTCTTGTAGGAGTCCGACAATTCTTCGATGTTAGAGTTTCCCCCTGTTCGCGCCTGATATAATCGTCTATGGCACGAGTAGGTAAACTAGAAAGGCCATAACTCAGAGGGGTATCAGCTCACTGAGTTGAGATGCCTAAGCTGATGCTGTGCATCTTCAGCTCAGCACTGTCAACTCATCTCACCTCCTTCCCCCCCTACTAAGCGGCCCGTACATGGTCGAATCACCTCCCCCCTACTGAGTTATACCGGTGCGTTCTACGCATTCCCCCCTCCTCTATACTATGCTAATGTGCTCTGACGACCGTGTGTTCTCTGCACTTCCTCCGACCCCACTGATCTAATGTGCTCTCGATGCCCGCGCGCGTTCTGTGTTACGCGTTTTGATTTTTATTGTGTGTATGTGTGTGTGTGTGTTA